GCCCCTAGTAGCGTTCTTGCTCCTAGTAGTACGGCCAGGAGCCCCTAATAGCGCCTAGTAGTGCGGCCAGGAGCCCCTAGCGTTCTTGCTCCTATAGTAGTACGGCCAGGAGCCCCTAGTAGCGTTCTTGCTCCTAGTAGTACGGCCAGGAGCCCCTAGAAGCGCCTAGTAGTACGGCCAGGAGCCCCCAGCGTTCTTGCTCCCAGTAGCGATGATGCCAGGAGCCCCTAGTAGCGTTCTTGCTCCCAGTAGCGATGATGCCAGGAGCGCCTAGTAGCGTTCTTGCTCCTAGTAGCGATGGTAGCGTTCTTGCTCCTAGTAGCGATGCCAGGAGCCGCTAGTAGCGATGCCAGGAGCCCCTTGTAGCGTTCTTGCTCCTAGTAGTACTGCCAGGAGCCCCTAGTAGCTTCTTGTTACTAGTAGCTTCTTGCTACTAGTAGCGATGCCCTTGTTACTAGTAGCGATGCCCCTGCTATTAGTAGCTTCTAGCTACTCTTGCAAAACCGTGGCTCTCCATGCAACTTGCTGCCAACAAAACCATTGAGGCCATTTGGACCCATCCAAGTGTCAGACTTCATCCAGAACCTCCTTTTTCGGTTTTTGACTTCGGTTTCAACCCTTTGGCAGGCGGTTGATTTGCACTGCTTAAAGGCTTTGATTGAAACCATGGAGCCATTTGGGGGCTTTGTGGCACGCCCGCCTGGTGACAGTGGTGCACGTTGTGGGCTGCCCAAAGGAGGGAGCGATGGATGCATGGGAGCATTGTCGACCTGGAGTCCAGGCTGAGACAATCGCCTCACCCACGCCTTGCTGTATCAGATAAATCACGCAGAACCGACCCCAGTACAGTAGGGTCTTGCCTCCCGGAAGTGCATTAAACAGCAAGATGTCAGGGTTCGAGGGTAATGACCCCATTCTCAAAAGCATTCAACAATCTTTTGAAATCGAGCTCATCTGGCTTTCGACACAAATGAGTAGTGTGGAAACGTGAGCCCAAGGCAGCTGACGTGCACGTGGCAAGCACTCTGGGTTTGTCAAGAACTCGCCGCGCCTCCACTTTGTCATCGATGCTGTGCAAGAGGTTTCCGGAATTCTTCCTCACACAATCCTCGCAATGAGCCAGCTTCAAAGCCAAGTCTGAAGTGCTTCTTGATATTCCCATACTGTACCCAACAACATAAGTCTAGCCCGAGAATGAAGAAACTGCAAAGCTACAGTGATCTTTTTTGCTACTAGGTTGGAGGCCATCGCTAGTAGGTTGGAGGCCATTGCTATCAGGTGGGAAGGCTACAGTAGTCTTTTTTGCCGCCATGGGATTTTAAAGGACAGATGGCCTGGCTCGCCGGTGAGACGAAACTCATGAAGCGGTGAGACCCACCCTCCGGACTGTGAACAAGAGTTCTCTCATCTCTAGACCTTTTTCTTTCTTCTTGAGTTCTTTAGACTTTGTAATTCTTGTCCTTAGACCTTTATTTCAGACCCTTTTCTTTTTCATCTCGTTCTTTCTTTAGACCTTTCCATGAGCCAGGTGTCTCTGTTTCCTACACTTCCGCGGCTGGTGGAGACGACATCTTCTCCATTGAGAGGGATGAAGTCGGACAAACAGTCAAGAAAATCAACATCCTTCGTTTGTTAACCGATTGTTCTGACTTGCTCAGGGCTACGATCCAAATCGCCTTCTATCACACCTGCCAGTTTTTATCCATTAAGCTGGCAGCTGGCAGTATTTGCATCCCATACTATCACACTTGCCGAAAGCACAACGCACATAGTCGTCACCCACATCCATGCACCTTTCCTCCGTCCACACATCACGGTCGGCGGCAGCCGCGTCCTCATCGCATATATTGGTGGGCAATCGCAGGAGATCAAAAAGCCGCTGAGGCTGGCAGTTGAGGTTTTGCAAGTCACGTGCCCTTTGTGGAGCGAAGCTTCAACAAAAAATGCATCCAAAATCCATCCCCTCGGAGCAGTTTTCATGAGGATTCTAATCAGGGAGCAATTTCACAACCGGGAACACCATCCAAAGCTTTTGAAGCATGTCAATTCCTTTTTTTGTGCATTGTTGCCCAATGCTAATCGGATGTCTAGTTCTCCCGTGAAAAAGTTGCGCTCGGTAAGTGTGACTTGGCTACAGCACTGCTACAGCTTCGCTTCTACTTTCCAAGTTGCACCTCTGAGTAGCCTAACAAGAAGCTACTAGTAACACGTGCATCGCTACTAGTAACAAGTGCATCGCTAGAAGTAACAAGTGCATCGCTACTAGTAACAAGTGCTCTGAGTAGCCTCTTCGAACGCACCCCCCGACTCCCAACGCATCAGCCCGCGCACGCTCCTCCGAGACGGTGTCGGCGGTCGAGGCACACGAGACTTCACGCACACCTCCATAGTAGAAACAATGTTCGCTACTAGGAACTAGGGCATCGCTTCTAGTAACAAGTGCCTTACTAGTAGTAACAAGAAGCTA